TTATCTCCAAGGACAGAGGCAAAACTCCATTAAGCACATGGCAGTAAAAAGACAATAAAATACACAAGGTTACATTTATTACATAAAATACAGACATGCAACATATCCCCAGATAGCTTAGGTCTGAGCGCACATTATTACCGAATGGCGCTCAGACCACACACATACAGTTCAATTGCCATGGAGCCAAAGTCTTTTATTACACGAATAGGCTCCATGGCATAGCTATCTGGGTTAAATGAGTTAATTCAGTAAATCCATGAATGAACTGGCCGCATGTGAACTGCAGACTGCTGCCATCCAGTGTTCATTATGCATAGCCGCGGCCACCCAGTATAGTCAATTAGGCTGCGGTTAACCGCAGCTAATGGGTGGTCAATTGACGGCACACGCTCGTTAAGCCGCGGTTTCTGGGCGGTCAATTGGCAACGCTCGCCGGCTTCTGGGTGACCTATTAACGGCGCCTTAATATAAAACAAAACAGACTATCTCAAAGAGATAGAAAGTGTTACTTAACAGTGCCTAAAAGATAGAAGCTGCTCAACACTAAAAGTGGAATACCCCTTACCCACAATAAAAAACAAATACAAATATAAGGTATACAAGTTATACCAGACAAGTGGAGCGCTATAAACAATGAAGGGGTTTACTCACCCCCTTTAAGTGCAGTGACAATCTTGAGAAACTTGCATAGACATAAAAAGAGGAACAAGAAAAACAGGGAGATATAGTGCAGACGGTTTATCCAGATAGGCAGTTGATAGTAATAAATGGCTTAAACCACTCACATGGACAGGAGCCTATATAGTATTGGCTGCGTAAAGAAGGTCCTTTACGCTCTTTGGGCAGCAAACACCCCTTTGTCCCCGGCAGTATCACTCCAGGAGTATACAACGAGAGAGAAAACAGAGAAGCAGCTGTGTAGAAAGGCACATACTATATTGGTATAAAAGGTATAAATAGTAGTGCTCACCTTTTCCAGAGCCCTGAAATCCGGGCTCTGAGGTTAGAAAGCAATGTGCTATTTTAGGGGGGAATAGCACTCTCCCCAATGGAGTTCCTGATCGCTAGAGAGGACTTTGGACTAAAGTATAAAAGAATAATAATATTTATTAGCAGTAAAAACAAAATAAATACATACTAGAAAATAAAATATCAAAGATCAAGTTGAAGTCCAATTAAAAGTCCAAAATATTCAGCTAAACGCGTTTCACTCTATGAGCTTCCTCAGTAGCTGTTTAGTTGGCTCAGGAATCCTTCTTTTTAAATGTTTGGAAGTCCTTTTAGGTCCTCCTCTTGAAGTCACATGGTGTGTAATTAATCAGTATGTTGAGAAAAAAAGAACATCTGTGGTGGATAGATTCTCATTTGCTGACAACATTGTCAGTTATTAGTAATGGCAGTAATACAATTTGCATAACCAATCATGTGTCTGGTTGGCGGACGTGGCAACACTAAAAGATTTTGCCAACCACCTCCATCCTCCATAATTCACAAGAATACATTCAAACAATATTTATGAGAGAACTATTGAAGTAACCAGTGGCGTACACATGACCCATGGGGCCCCGGTGCGAAAATTGATCCGGGAGTCCGGCGCTGGAGAAAGGTACGTGCTGAAGACACACACACTCTCACTTACAGACGCATACACACTAGCTAACAGACACACACATTTACTGACAGAGATACAGTCAGCGACAGACATACATACACACTCACTTACAAAACATACACTCTCATTGACAAACACACACTCACTAACAGACATCAAACAGACTCACTAACACACACACACTCAGTAAGACACACACAGTAACACACTCACTGACACTCACTAGCAGACACACACACTAACACTCACTAGCAGACACACTCTAACACTCACTCTAACACTCACACTAACACTCACTCTAACACTCACACACACTAACACTCACACACACTAACACTCACTCTAACACTCACACACACTAACACTCACACACACTCACACTCACTCTAACACTCACACACACTAACACTAACACTCACACTAACACTCACACATGATTTATTTTTATTTTTTTATATAATCCCCCCAGCCTCCTTACCTCTTGGAGTGCTGGGGGGGATTATTCCCTGGGGTCCAGTGGGGCTCCTGGGCGGGTGGCCGGTCGGGCAGGCAGGCGGGCGCGCGAGGGAGCACTCAGTGCTTCTTCTTCAGCTCCCTCGCGCGCCGCGTAGGGATGCCGGCGCCGGAAGATGACGTCATCTTCCGGCTCCGGTATCATTGCGGTGCGCGAGGGAGCTGAAGAGGAAGCACTGAGTGCTCCCTCGCGCGCGCGCCTGCCTGCCCGACCGGCCACCCGGGGTCAGCAGGGCCAGCCTCAGGGGGCCCTGGGGTGGTCGGCTCCTGGGCCCCCCAGGGGAAGAGGCTGGCCCTGGGCGTACATACCGGGTCGCAGGGGCGGCCGGGCCCCCTGGTGGGCCGGGCCCGGTCGCAGTCGCGACCCCTGCGACCCTGGTATGTACGCCAGTGGAAGTAACCTACATATTAAAGGACCACTATAGTGCCAGGAAAACATACTCGTTTTCCTGGCACTATAGTGCCCTGAGGGTGCCCCCACCCTCAGGGACCCCCTCCCGCCCGGCTCTGGAAGGGGGTTTAAACTTACCTTTTTCCAGCGCTGGGCGGAGAGCTCTCCTCCTCTGATCCTCCTCTTCTCCTCCCCGTCGGCTGAATGCACACACGCGGCAAGAGCTGCGCGCGCATTCAGGCGGTCACATAGGAAAGCATTCATAATGCTTTCTTGTGGACGCTGGCGTGCTCTCACTGTGAAAATCACAGTGAGAAGCACGCAAGCGCCTCTAGTGGCTGTCAATGAGACAGCAACTAGAGGAAATAGGGGAAGGCTTAACCCATTCATAAACATAGCAGCGGAGGGGCACAGAGAGAGGGACACTCCGCAAATCTTAGCCAAGCTGGGGGAGGTGCAGACTTACCTGGCAGGGGAGATTGAGAGGTCCACATCAGTCCTGCGGTCGGAAATTGCTGCACTAGGAGCGAGAACCGCCATTTTAGAGGACCGCATGGAAGGCACAGCTTACAGCCCGGGTGGCCGAGGTGGAGATGGCGCTGGAGGATGCTGCTAATAGGTCCCGGAGAAATAACCTCAGGTTGAGAGGCTTGCCGGAAAAGGAAGGTGAGGGGCCACTGCAAGATCTTGTCCTCCAGATCCTCAGACCGATGCTGCCGGACTTACCGGAGGAGAAATGGCAGATTGAGCGGGCGCACAGAGCCCTGCGCACCAGACGCCCGACCCCCAGCTCCCCGAGGGACATTATTATTAAATTTCTGCATTACCCTACCAAAGAAGCCCTCATCCAGCAGGTCAGGAAGAGTAAACTTACCTACCAGGGGGCAGATCTTCAGCTCTTCCAGGATTTGGCGCTGAGCACTCTGAGGGAGGCCGACATCAGATATGCCTGGGGGCACCCGTTCAGGCTGTTGGCGTTCCGAGAGGGGAAGGTTCAGGCTCTCTCACCCGGAGGGGACCCCCAGAGCTTTCTAAGAGGGCTTGGAGTGACACCGCCGGGAGGCTTGCCAGAGATTGCCGTGGCCGAGGTGGAGCTGGAGACCCTGCCGACGGAGTGGCAGATGGTGGGTGGTGGGCTGTGAGGAGGTCTCATGGTGGAGACGGCCCCGGGACTGGAGGTACCGGACGTGGACAGGGGACATGAAGGGGGAGAGCGAATGAACTATTGGGGAGGGGAGCGGGAGGCTGGAGCTGGAACATGGCGGAGGGGGTTCCATAATGACACTGCGGTACTGGGGGTGCCCTACGGGGGTAGAGCCCCTCAGGGGTTATGGCAGGGCTCAGGAAGGGGGCTGACCGTTTTTGGGCGGGGGACTGGGGGGCATAGCCTGGGAGTGGAGGGGAAGGGGAATGGATGGTCCCGTTGGGGGATATGTTGCATCGGGGGGAGCGGGGCACCCGGGGGGATCTGGAAGAGTCACCCTCGTTTCTGGGGGCGACGGATGCAGCGGTGGTGCCTCGTTGTGCCAATGGGACAACCACAGGATGTGGGGGTACCCGAGGGTCTAGTGAGTGGCCCAAGTACTCTCGGGGGACACCACAGTTTGGGAACGGGCCCCAGGCAACGCACCCTATCACGGAGTACCAAGCCGCCTGACCAGTAGGGGGTATCCACGTAGGAGGGGGGGAGTTGTGCGGATAGTTAGGAAGTGTTACGATTGCCCCCCGTCGAGCAGGAGGGTTGATCGCTTGGATGTCCTGGTTCCCGCTGTAGAGAGTCGAACGGAGGTCGTTCGGGAGCAAACTGCAAGTGTAGAATATCCCCAAGCACGAAATAAGCATCAATATCCCGGATCCCTACAACATGAGTCGAGGCTGCAAGTTGAGGGTCAAAACGAACTGGCTTTACTGGCACATAGCATGGCAATTTATGTGATCCCTCAGGTCCAAGGACAGCCCCCTGTGGACCTGATGGAATACAGGTACAGTACAAGCAGGTAACCAATCACAGTACACTGTATCATTTGAATTATTACCCGCCCAGCTTGGAGATAATGGGGCCAACGGTTTTACAATCTAATTATCTCCAAGCGCACAAAAGACCACGTTTTATTATGTCCCCGAGAACTACCTAAAAATCTATAACTTGTACATTATTACAGGAAAACCATTCATTCTACCATTCAGCTGAAGGCTCGCGTTCGTATAGATAAAACAGGCGAATGGCGCTCTAATCTCACGAACAGAATGGACTGTTCCTGCTGTATAAAGTCCGTTCGGCATTTTGAGATTGTGAGCGTTTGTTGGCGGCCATGTTTTCTGCTGATTTAGCGAGCAGCGGGACTTCGTGTCTAACTCCTGGAACTAAACTCGGTATCAGTTCATGCGAAGTCCCGCTGTTTGTCTGGTAGTGGGGTTCGTTCGGTAAGGGAACGGGGCCACCTGGTAGCAGGGTACTTGACCTGCGGTTAACCGCAGAAACCACAAGTTAATGACCGCCACGCGGCCCACGGTAGGGGGTCGTCGTTCGGTTGTTAATTCGGTGGATTCTGTTCGGTATTTAGAGGCGAACGTCGATGCCCCCAGGCTTATCAATTACGTTGTGGTTAACCGCAAACCGCAGCTGCCTGGGTGGTTAATGGCTGCCACACGCCGCTGGCTGGGGGGGTCGAGCGTTCGGTAGTTTGCGGGGTGACGGGGTTAAGTGGCGTCACACGCCAATTCTGGGGGGTCTCCTGTTCGTACCACGAATGAGCCCTTTATAATGGTTCGGATAATCCGTTCGTCCGTCTTTTCGCTTTAAACTTAGCCAGGGACAAACAGTATCCATCGGTTAGCAAACAGTAACATAGTTAGTTTCAGTCTTTTGTAACAGGAAGGCCACCTCTTCTATGGGGGGGAGCACCTGTCAGCACTGGTAGGGCCTGGAGGGATGCAGGGTTCCAGGTGGAGGGAGGATGGATGGCAATGGGTCCACCCGCGGTGGGGGCTTCTGAGCAGGGGCTAAGGGGGGTCAAATTGCCTTACGGACACGAGGGATTCCTGTATTTTGCTTCAGGGGACGGAGCACAGGGACGGGGGGGTTCAGACAGGTATCCCACGGCCCAAAAGCATACAGTCCTGGCGAGACTGGGGGCAGCTGGAGACAGTCATGGGCACGCTTCGAGACTATATTAGCGGGTGGGGAGCCGCTGCCTGTATATGGGACTGCTTTGCATAATCTTTGACTTGGAGGTAGCGGAAAAAATCCGATGGAGTAAGGTGCCCTTTTTGTCGTAGGGCATCGAACGGGATGAAATCTGCACCCTGGAATAACTGACATATGCGTTGGAGCCCTACCCTCTCCAAATTCCGGTAATCTCTGGCCGCCATGCCCGGAGGAAATTCCCTGTTACGGAGATACGGCGTAAGGGGGGAGGGGTCTGAGGCTAATTCGTATTTATGTGCCATGGTGTCCCATAGCCTGATGGAATTAAGAATGGCTGGGCAGGTGACTCTGATCTGGGGTCTATGTGGCTTGGGCACCCAAATAAGAAGCTGTGGGAGGTCCGCTCCCACCATAAGTGATTCTAAATCAACCCATTTCCTATCCCCTGGGGATAGGAAAGCCCCTTGTGCCACATTGCTACCTGTGCTAATTGGCTTGCTACATAATAAAAATATAGACTAGGGAGGCCCAAGCCCCCTCTATCTTTCGGCCGATATAAAATGTATCTCGAGATCCTGTGGCGTTTAGAGTTCCAAATGAATGTCCCTATTGCCCGTTGCAGCGGCAGTAGTTGCCCTTTCAACACGCGGATGGGTAGAGTTTGGAATAAGAACAGGATCCTCGGCAGTATATTCATTTTTACCGCGTGGACTCTGCCTATCCAGGAAATAGGTCTGTCCGACCAAGTCTCTAGCTCGTTAATTAGTTTCTTAATCAGTGGTGTGTAATTTTGGCTATATAACTGTGCTAGGTGTGCTGTTAGGCGGATCCCTAAGTATTTAAGCGATTGGTGTACCACCTTTAATCCGTATGTGCTCCAAATGGAAGCGATGTCTCCACCCGTGATATTAATCGGCAGGGCACTGGACTTAGCCATATTCACCCTATATCCAGCTATCTGTCCGTACTCTCGCAGGACATCCTGGAGGGCTCTCATTGAGCTTAGGGGGCTGGTGACCGTCAAGAGCACGTCATCCGCATAGGCCGATACTAGAAACGCCCTCCCCCCCGCTCTCACACCCTTGATGTCCGGGTGCTTCCTCAACGCCTGCAGTAGAGGTTCTAGTGACAGTATGAACAATAAAGGGGAGAGCGGGCATCCCTGCCGCGTACCGTTGTGGAGTGCAAACGGCCTGAGTGGGGCACCTGTTATTTTCACCTGGGCATGTACATTGGTATACATAGCTTTTATTAATGTTATAGATTGTTCCGGGAAGCCTAGGTGTGAGAGGAGCGTGAATAAGTACGGCCATTGGACCCTATCAAATGCTTTTTCAGCATCGAGCGAAAGCAATAATGTTGGGGTATTTAGGGTTGCCTGTTTCCATATGAGATCAATATTTTTGCGAGTATTCTCAAATAATTGCCTACCGGGAATAAAGCCTACCTGGTCCGCATCGACTAGCTCTGTAAGATACGGGTTTATTCTATTCGCCTGTATTTTTGCGAGAATTTTCATGTCGTGGTTAATAAGAGATATGGGTCGATAGCTCTCAGGGAGGAGCGGGTCCCTATAGGGTTTAGGTAATAAGATAATGGTAGCTAAAGACATGTCATGATTAGGTGTGTCCCCCCCTCTGAACCCGTTGAAAAGTGCTGTCAGGTGGGGCGTCAGTTCCTCCCTAAAGGTCTTATAATAAGTCCCATCATAAACGTCCGGTCCAGGGGCATTATTGCTTTTCAACTCCGAGATAGCCCGGTCCACCTCTTCTGGTAGAATTTCCCCTGCCAATCTGGAAATCGCCTCTGGGGATAATTTAGGTAGATCCAGGCTGGAGAGGAAATTGAGTGTCAGTGCAGTGTCTGTCGCTACTTGCGTTGCTGTGTTCGAGGAGTGGTTGTAGAGTGTTTTAAAGAAGTCAGTAAATACGTCTGCAATCTCTGTGGGCAAAGTTTTGACGGAGCCGTCTGAGTGTCGTATGGCAGTGATATGCCCGCGTCGCAGTCTAGGCTTAAGGACTCTGGCCAATAACGTGTCCATCTTATTTGCCTTTTCATAAAAGGTGCGTTTGGACCATGTCATGGCTTTAGCCGAGTCATCTAGTAGTAAGGAGCGGATGGCATGTCGTTTAGCCTCCAGCTGTCGGAATGTCCCGTCGTCGGGTCTGTGTTTATGTTGCTGTTCTACTCTCCTAAGCTCAGTCAGTAAGGTAGTCAACCTGAGGAATTTGTGTTTCTTCCTAGCAGTCGCTATCTTGATGAGAGAGCCCCGTATCACTGTCTTGTGTGCCGCCCATATCGTTTCCGGACGCATGTCTGGAGTGGCGTTAGTCGCAAAATAGTCTATTAGGTCAGTCCGAATCTGGTCTACGATGTCAATAGGGAGGAGTTAAGTTTCCAGGTCCAGGGAGAAGCTACCCCCAGGCTCCCCAACGTGAGAGATACGTCCGCATGGTCGGACCATGCTATGGACCCAATCTCTGAACTCTGGACGTAAGGTAGGCATTTGTCATTAACTAAGAACATATCTATTCTGGAGTATGTGCCATGTGGGGCCGAATAAAACGTATAATCTACCGTGCTCGGATGACGTGCCCTCCATATGTCCACCAGCCCCGCCTCCGTCAGAAACTTGTGAAAACACCGGTCTTGGCTCCCCCGTCCCTGGGATCTAGGTACCCCCCCATGCGCGCTCCTGTCCACGGCAGAGGACGGCACTGCGTTGGCATCCCCCCCCATGATTAGCATGCCCCGTGGCAGATTCCGGATCTTCGCCAGCAACACCTCCCAAAACCCGGCCGCCATCTGATTCGGAGCATAGACATTTATTAAATGTATCGTGTGTGAATGCAACGTACCAGAGACAATGACATACCTCCCATCCGGATCACAGTCAGATGACGTAATCGCCATCGGACAGCTGTTCTGTATCAGGATTGCCACTCCGTTTTGTTTACGAAACGCCCTTGCTTCGTACGCCGTGGAATAGGTGTGGTCTCGTAACCTAAACCCCACGTGTTTTGGCAAGTGCGTTTCCTGAATGAAAGCCACATCTGCTCTCATCCGCTTGAGTTCCCTAAATACTAACCGCCTTTTCCGTGGCGCATTGAGCCCTTTCACGTTTAATGTTGTAAATTGCAGCGTCATGAACCCATCTTTATAGTCACGCTGGCCCAGTAGGTTGTGCCGCTCCCCCCGGGCCCCGATCCCCACCACACCGCCCCCACGGGATAAACAAACAGAGGAGGGGAAAGACATCTAGGGAAAAGAAAAGGAGAAGAAAAGTATAAAAGAAAATATATACAACTGTGACGATATGTTGACATTGACATTGACATTCTTTGAACGCATATGCATACAGGAACGGATGCCCAAGGGCCTGATAACGATCTTATATAAGCATCTATCACTAGAAACTATGGGAAACAGATCTGGGGGAAGAACTAGAGGGAGTAGAATGGCAAGAAATATGGGAGGCCAATCATACCTCTTCGGTATGTGTCACCATGCAAGAGCAATCCGTGAAAACAATGCTCCGTTGGTACACTACCCCCACCCAGCTGTACCGTATGAGGAAGACTCCCACGGACTTGTGCTGGAGGGGGTGTGGTATCAAGGGAACATATAGGCATATGTGGTGGGACTGTCAGGTGATACACAATTTTTGGACGCAAGTTAGAGGAATGATAACCCAAGTTTTTTTCCGGGCCCCAGAGCTACACCCATGGGTTTACTTATTAAGCAGATCGTTAGAGGGGTGGACCCGGAGGGAACAAAAACTCCTCCATAAAATCACATTAGCAGCACGGCGAGCCATTGCGGCGAGCTGGCTAAAACAAACGGTCCCCACGTCACAAGAGGTTCTCAATAGAATTAAGGAAGTGCATCTAATGGCTGATTTAACTGCCCGAATAAGGGATACCCACAAGTCCTTTCAGAGGATCTGGGAGCCGTGGGAGAGTTCCCCACTAGGAATGTAGCGTGAGGAGAGGAATGTGGCCCCTCACCCCCTGCCACCCCCTTCCACCCCTCCCCCCCCGTCTTCTTCTTTCCCTTCCAACCTGTCACCCTACTTTTCTATCTTTCCATCTCCTACGCACCAATTGCTTCGTTACCTTGCCTCCATGGGGCGCACTGGGCCCCAAGAGGTGGATATGGGAGTTGATGTCTCCCGCTGACTCTACCGCAGGGACACTAGTAAGTCTTCTCTAGAAAGCAAAATGGATAGTCCGTTGGCGGAAGAGAATGCCATAACATAGACAAAGGGGTGGCCACGGTCATGTAGGAAGGACCACTAATGGGGTATAGCCAACTATTGAGCTGTCCTGCTGGAGGGAATTGGCGGGAGGGAGAGATACCGATGGAGGGCCCATGGCCCGGGCGGAGCAGAATGGCTTACGTTTCGGGAGTTGGAGACAAACGCATTTTTTTGTTTTTGTCTTGTTTTGTCTTTTGTTTCTGTCTGTTTATCTCGTGTTTGGTTAAAATAAGAAAACTGGCATTGGCAAGGAAAGCGAGAGCGGGAGAACTGGGAGGACTCATGAGCAATTCACGGACTCGGAGCTATGCACAGTGGGGTATAAGAGAGGAGAGGCGGTCTGCCCTAGGGTGGATGGTGGGTCTGGCATGGGATGTGAATGTTATGTCTGTAACGAATATGGTTATTACCTCTGAAAATCAGCATGCTATGTCAATGCTAACAGTTAAATAAAGAATAAAAAAAATAATAATAATAATGCCCCAATCATTTGTGTTTAATGTGTTTATAAAATTCTTTAAGGATTCCTCTGTACCTTCCCAGATAAAAAATAAATAATAATAAATAAATAAATATATAATAAATAATAATTGTGTTTTTACTGCTAATAAATATTATTATTATTTTATACTTTAGTCCAAAGTCCTTTCTAACCGTCAGGAACTCCATTGGGGAGAGTGCTATTGCCCCCCTAAAATAGCACATTGCTTTCTAACCTCAGAGCCGGGATTTCAGGGCTATGGAAAAGGTGAGCACTACTATTTATACCTTTTATACCAATATAGTATGTACCTTTCTACACAGCTGCTTCTCTGTTTTCTCTCTCGTTGTATACTCCTGGAGTGATACTGCCGGGGACAAAGGGGTGTTTGCTGCCCAAAGAGCATAAAGGACCTTCTTTACGGAGCCAATACTATATAGGCTCCTGTCCATGTGAGTGGTTTAAGCCATTTATTACTATCAACTACCTGGATAAACCGTCTGCACTATATCTCCCTGTTTTTCTTGTTCCCCTTTTTATGTCTATGCAAGTTTCTCAAGATTGTCACTGCACTTAAAGGGGGTGAGTAAACCCCTTCATTGTTTATAGCGCTCCACTTGTCTAGTATAACTTTTATACCTTATTTTTGAATTAGCGGTGCCTGCAGGCTAACCATGGCTCCAGGGAGGCCAATAGACAGCTGTTTGTTCGGTAGATAGAATCTACCGAACGCCCGGACAGAAATACATGAATAGACCTTTCTGCGGGCAACCAGGCTCCTCCAGTGCACAGTGGCGAGATTGGTCTTGTCACATTATTAATCATCATATTTCAAATACAAACATACCCAAAAATCATTCAAATCCGTTCAGCTGTTCGGGAGATAGATATAAGTCACTTTTGACCGACCGCAAGCACATTTTCATGCCCAAAACAGTTCCAGAGAATCAGGCTGTGCGGCCGGTCTATTTCCCATGTTAAAGTCAGTTCAAACAGACGAACGACAACCATTAGAATTGTTGAATGAACTGTCGAATGCATTAGTTACAGGGAAGGTAAAACTTCAGCGGTGTTCATGCCGTTCTGTAGCCGATTTTAGTTCCATGAGTTTGACGGCACACACCGCTGACTGCATTCGAATGAATCAAAATGGCCGCCGCCACGTGTTCGGTTTTCTAATGGCGTCCACTTCGGCTGTATCCGAAGTGCCAATTTAAAGTTGAAACACTGCTCCAAAGTAATTAAAGGGCCAGAAACAGCAGGGGCTCCCCCACGGCTGTGTGAGGTACTGGCTCTCTGGATGTGTGGGTTGCTGAGTGGGAAGAGACCAGCGGTACTCTGCCCTGGTGCCAGCGCTTCAGCTGGTGTTGCCTGGTTGGTGCTCAGCTGGGCAGAGGGGGTAGTATGCTCCTCTCCCTGGAACCGGTACTGTGGTGGGATGGGGAGACCAACTGTCTCCCCTTCCAATAAACGGTCCTGCTGCTGGTGGTCTGGACAGGCTGCCCCGCATCCCTGTGGTTCAGGTACAGAGGTCACGGCCCCTCTGTGTCATGTGGGAGACTAGGGTCTCCCCTTTTGTGAATAAGCTGCCGCTGGGGAGAGGTGGAAATAGGCTCTTCTCCCTTAACCATATACTGCCGCTGGGAAGGGGAACCAATGGTCTGCACTCCCAATACATTGTCCTGCTGTTGAGGAGCGAAACCGACTCTGCTCCCTGTAGGACACTCTCTTGCTGGGGAGTAGTACCGACTGTCCCCACTCCCTGTAGTTTGGGCACAGAGACCACGGTCCTATCTGCACCGGTGGAGAGCGTTTTGTCTCCCCTTTGTGTGATAAGCTGCTGCTGGGGAAGGGGAATGAGGCTCTCCCCTCCTAGTATAGGACACTGCCTCTGGGGAGAGGGGGAAACAGGCTCCCCTCCCTGACACTCTCTCTGCTGTTGAAGAGGGAGACCAACTGTCTCCCCTTTCCATAATTTGTCCTGTCGCTGGGGATAGAGACCGACTGTCTCTGCTCCCTGCAGGATACTTTGTCGCTGGGGAGGGAGGACGCTGCTCTCCGTTCCCTGTGAAACAATGCCGCTGGGGAGCAGGACCGACTGTCCCTGCCCCCTGTAGCTCACCCTGCCGCTGGGGAGGGAGGACGCTGCTCTCCTCTCCCTTCAAGGTACACTGCCGCTGGGGATCTGGGCCGACTGCCCAGCATCCCTGTAGTGCCGGTAGAGAGACCGCCGGCCCATCTCCACCTGCCATCTGTGGATCTTCCCAGGACCAGTCTATGAGGTCCCTCAACATTTGAGAGTAGGGACCACCTGCTTCTGCACCCGGTAACTCCAGCTGCTGCTGGGGATCTGGGCCAGCTTCCCAGCATCCCGGTCGGCCCGGTGGAGAGACTTCGGTCTCATCTCCACCTGCCTGTTGTGGTTCCTCACAGGACCAGTCTATGAGGACCCCTATTTCGGGTTTTTCTGGCCGCCTCAGGGGGAAGCGGTTAACCTCCTCGAATGCAGCCTCCCTTTGGCTGCTGTAACACTCCTTCCGCTGATCATGTTCTCTTTCGTTCGCAAGCCGGAATTCTCGGTCCATCTTTGCGTTTCGCTCAGCTGTGACCTGGTTCCAGATCGCCTGGCATATGGGCACATTATCACCATACTGGGCCACTCGCTGCCTCACCTCGGCCAGCCAATCATCTCCAGAGCCTTCTATTCTTGTCTGCTCCAAGTCGCTGGATACCTCTGCTCCCAGGGGCGCTTCACGAGTGCTAGCGTTGCCCTCAATTTGTAACTCCACTAACGGTGTCTCTGAGCTACTTTACCTCACACTAGGACGCCATCCCACTGCTTGCCACCAATGTAACGGATCACCTGGCACCCCGACTGGGTTTCCTCCGCTGAAGGATGCTCCTAGCATTTCCTGAGGGCTCCAAGCACTCCAGCCATAACCACCGTAGACTCCTTCAGAGAGCAAGACAGGAACAAGCTCTTACAAGCATGGGAGACCCGGAAAGGGGAGAAGGACTCCCATGCGGAGTGGGCATGCCGCATCACAAGGGCCACCCAGAACTGGCTCAACTCCCATCAAGCCAAGTTCCCGGAGATCACCCAGCACTTTTTCAATGGGCTCCCCAACGACACGGCTGATGAGAGACCGCCAGCCCCAGACCCAAGAAGTATTGGTATGAGCTGCTGAAGCTAGCTCACGATATCCCCTTGGCGGGGCATTTGGGCAGGAGCCGGACAGCGTCTCAGCTCACCCAAAGCTTCTTCCGGCCAGGCATCTCTCAGGATCTGAGACAGTGCTGCCAGATGTCTACCAGATAGTGGGGAAGAGAAGGGACCGGCACAGGGACCCCCTCCATAGGTAGCTATTAGTGAAGATCCGTTCGGCAGAGTAGCTGTCGACATTATAGGTCCCCTAGCCAAGCCTAGTCCCTCTGGGAAGAAGTACATTCTGACCATTGTGGACTATGCGACTCGGTACCCTGAGCAGTATTCGGGCAGAGACTGTGGCTGAAGCCTTGATGCAAGTGTTCTCCCGGATAGGTTTTCCCCGGGAGATTCTCTCAGACTAGGGCACCCAGTTTACTGCCAAAATGACCCACCAACTGTGGAGATTGTGCACATTAAACCAATCCTGAGCTCCCCTTACTACCCCCAGACCAATGGCCTATGTGAGCGCTTCAACGGTACGTTGAAGCAAATGCTCCGTACCTTTGTGGCGACTCACAAGGATTGAGAGAGATTCCTGCCCCATCTCCTGTTTCCCTATCGGGAGGTGCCACAGGAATCGACTGGGTTCTCTTCGTTCGAACTGCCACGCCAGGGAACTCGGAGCTGGCTTTGTTGTGCGCGGTCCCTGGGTGCGGTGGGCAGTAGCAGGCGTACTGTCTAAGAGATGGCTGCTCCGCTTTTGCACCCTGCTCTAGGAGGAGGAGGTGGATGTGGAGTAAGAGGCTGAGGAGGCGGTGACCGTGGCGGCGACAGCGCATTTGGATGTCTGCCCTATCAACTTTCAATGTTACTTTCTGCGCCTACCACGGTGATCACGGGTAACAGGGAATCAGGGTTCGATTCCGGAGAGGGAGCCTGAGAAACGGCTACCACATCCAAGGAAGGCAGCATGCGCGCAAATTACCCACTCCCGATGCGGGGAGGTAGTGACGATAAATAACAATACAGGACTCTTTACAGGCCCTTTAATTGGAATGAGTACACTTTTAATCCTTTAACGAGGATCTATTGGAGGGCAAGTCTGTTGCAGAGCAACTGACCCGTGCGTGCTGCAGCTGAAACTCCACTATTGCCTGCTGCTGCTCGCACAGTCTCTCCAGCATGTGCAAGGTGGAGTTCCACCTTGTGGGCACGTCGCATATGAGGCGGTGAGCGGGAAGGCCGAAGTTATGCTGCAGCGCAGACAAGCGAGCAGCAGCAGGGTGAGAACACCGAAAGCGCGCAGAGCCGTTACAGTAAAACTGTGAATGGCTCATTAAATCAGTTATGGTTCCTTTGATCGCTCTATCTGTTACTTGGATAACTGTGGTAATTCTAGAGCTAATACATACCGACGAGCGCTGGGGGGTGGCCACTCCGCTTTTGCACCCTGCTCCCTCTTATGCTGTGCTGGTGCCTCTGTGCGACCACCGCCTCTTCCTCCAAACTGCACACATCACTCACATGACCTTGATTCCATGTGGGGTCCAGGGCCTCATCATCCTCCAAATCATCTTCCACCCACTCCTCATCCCTGCCCTCCTTGCCGGTCTGCACACTGCAGAAAGCCACAGCAGTTGGCACCTGTGTTTTTCCAGCATGTAAAGTCTGCAAAGAACATATGGAAATTGTTTTAGAATTGTATCCAGGCAACAGTTTTCCCTATAAACTGACCTCTCAGTTTGACTTGTGAGGGTATTGCCCCAGAATTACAATATTGTTGAAGTACCTCTTAGCTATTGATAACGGGTTTAAATATAGCAGCTTGTTATCTGGTAGTTTCTAGTGTAGAAAATATCAATCTGTTTTCTATCACTTAGATCTGTGTAACAAGTGTTGTAGGTGTGAAACAATATTACAAGTGACCGATGTAGTAAATTCCAATCAAAGTTCTATTTGCAAAAATAAAATTCTCGCCCATCTTCTGAGGGTTATTGCATTTTTAAGATGTAGACTTATTGTATCACACTAGCCATGCACAGGTAGATTGTCTGGCACATTGTTTTGGTGTTTGGTTTTTAACTTTGTAGTTGTGTCTTTTCACAATATAGAAATGTATATTAATGTTTCTGTATATGAAACGATCACAATAACACTAATTTTTAATTTTTTTTTAAAAGTCTTTAGACTTTCTTGAGAAGCGATAACTAGCCAGTGTTGCACACATACACCAGATATGAAGTGCAGGCACCAAACTGACTTTTTAGCACCTAAAGAATTAGAATTTTGAAAACTGCGCTGTAACCACAGTATTTGACGGTTCTATGTGACTCTCAGATATGAAGTGCACGCCTCAAATTTACTTTTTAGCACCAAAGAAATGTGAATTTCTCAAAGTGCAATAAAACCACAGTATTTGACGGTTCTATTTGACTCTCAGATATGAAGTGCACGCCCCAAATTTACTTTTTAGCACCAAATAAATGTGAATTTTTCAAAGTGCGATGTAACCACAGTATTTGACGGTTCTATTTGACTCTCACATATGAAGTGCACGCCCCAAATTTACTTTTTAGCACCCCAAAAATTAGAATTTTTAAAACTGCTATGTCACAGCATTATTTGACGGTTCTATTTGACTCTGACATATGAAGTGCACGCCCCAAATTCACTTTTTCAGCACCTGAAAAATTAGAATTTTTAAAACTGCTATGTCACAGCAGTATTTGACGGTTCTATTTGACTCTCAGATATAAAGTGCACGCTCCAAATTTACTTTTTAGCACCAAAGAAATGTGAATTTTTCAAAGTGCGATGTAACCACAGTATTTGACAGTTCTATTTGACTCTCAGATATAAAGTGCAAGCCCCAAATTTACTTTTTAGCACCTAAAAAAATGGAATTTCTCAAAGTGCAATAAAACCACAGTATTTAATGGTTCTATTTGACTCTCAGATATGAAGTGCACCGCAGGCCGCAAATGTACTATTTAGCACCAAAAAGTTAGATTTTTTAAACCAACAATGTAACAGTAGTATTTAACTCCTTAATGACGAGTGACGGATGAGGACCGTCACAGAGAGAAACCCTTAATGACGAGTGACAGACCTTGTCCGTCACGCGGTAAAATTAACCCCAGATCGCACGGGTTAATGGTGCTCCGGTCTGCATCTTCTCAGTGTACTCACCTTCCGCCTCCCTGCACTTCCGGGTTCCCTGTGAAGTGCAGGGAGACGGATCAGCACTGATCTTGTCCCTGTTAGAAAAAAAATAAAGTTAATTTAAAATCCCACCCCCTTTACACATTTTAATAAAAAAATTAACCCCTTGCCTGCCAATTAGACATGTGCAATTCGTTTCGGGCCGAATATGAATTCGGACAAATTTTGGGCAATTCGGACATTCGGGTACTTCCGAATTTCCGAAGTGCCGAATTACCGAGGTCCCGAAGTTCTGAAATTAACGAATTTCTGAAGTGTCGAATTGCCGAAGTCCCGAATTTCAGAATGCCGAACCGAAAATTTTTCCCATGTACATGCCTACTGCCAATTGCCAACTGACTACAGCGATCAATTGGCAGGGATTACATTTTACTATGATCTGATTTATTTTTTTTTTATTAATTAATTTAAGTATTTTAAAATTATATATTTAGCTAGCTGGGGTGGGTGGAAGTTAGTGGGGAATTGGGGGATTTGGTGTTTGGCTAACTAGGGGTTAACGTTAAAAAATGTTTTAAAATAAGCTTTAAAAAATTACAAATTAAGTTTAAAAAAAGGTTTTAATAACGTTTAAGTAAAAAAAAAATACCCCCCTTTACCCAGTAAAAATTAACCCCTTCCCTGCCAGTCGATCACTGCCTACAGTGATCAAAATACAGATCACAGTATTATACTGTGATCTAATTTTTTTTAACCCCTGACGATTAACTTTTATTTATTTTTTAACCCTTATGGGTTAAATTTATTTAATTAACTAATTTAAATATTTATAATTATATATTTTGCTAGCTGGGGTGAGTGGGAGTTATGGGAAAATGGGGATTTTACTGTTAGTGCTGCTTACTGCTAGTTAGGGGTTAACGGTAAAAAAAGCTTAGAAAAATTTTAAAAATCTGTAAAAAAATTAATAAGCAAAATAAAAGTTTAAAAACTAGTTTTAAAAAGTAAAAAGAGTTTATAAAAGTAAAACAATTAATTTAAAAACGCTCATTACCACTACACCTGGAACAAACTAGAGAAAAAATGATCCCACGCTGAGGTTCAAAATATTCCTTTTGAATTACCCCAGGATGTATTATTTAATAAATAGTATGTGTTTGTGGGGAAGTTTCAATAATCAACCGTCTAAACTACTCCAAATTGGAACATGGACACAGCGTAAAACTTCAAAGTTAGAAAAAAACTGAATGGCTGCGTCTCAAATGTGCCCCTTCAACATCCACATATGCCTGTCAAAGGTACATACGGGGGTATTGCTGTACTCAGCTGACATAGCTGAGCAATATATGAAGTATTATACACTGGTAGCACACATAAGGTTTGCAAAATATACTGCGCAAACTAACTTTGTGTGACAAAAAGGCAGAAAAAACGCTTATTACCACTACACTTAGTACAAGCTAGCGGAAAAATGATCCCACGCTAAGGTTCAAAATATACATTTTGAAATACCCTGGGGTGTCTACTTTAAGAAATGGTAGGCCTTTGTGGGGTAGTTTGAATTTAAACCCTGCTAAGATGCTTGGAAATTGCACATAGGCCCAGCGTCAAAGTTCGGTAAAAACTGATATGGCTTGGTCTCCTATATGGCACTGTAGCTTCACGAAATAGTGCCAAAGACATTCATTGGGGGTGTCTTTTTACTCAGAAGACTTAGCTGAGCATAATCTGGGGGGTTTGGACTTAGTGGCACATGTGAAATATACAAAGTGCCCAGCAAAAATGCAATCTGTATGTAAAAAATGCCCCAATTTTACGCCAATATTTAGCAGAGGTTGGTGGTGAAATGGCTACGTAGAAAGTGTCAAAACAACCTTAGGACAATAGCCTGTGATGTCTACTTTATATAAATATATACTTTTGTGTGGCAATTTTGTTTTCTTTTATGGCTATTAAGCTTACAAGACAAACATACCAAATTCTAAAATCGCTCCATATTAAAGGTTTATTTTACTCCTTGTGCTTTGTGACCTGTAACTACCAAAAAAAACTTAAAATCCCAGACACATTATATATTCTGTAAATCACTAAATTATTTTTTTAATTACTTTCCTTAACCTGCACTAATTGTGCACACATTATTATTGCAAAAATTGTAAAAAAAAACAAAACACATTTTTAATTTTTTTTGCATTTTTCTGTATTTTTTGATAAATAAGCATTTATATAAATGTGTGTTACATCAAATTAAAGCCCTTTCTGTCTGTATATAATATGTGTCGGTGCAATAAATTTGTAAAATGCAAATTGCAGTTGAACGTAAACAGCAAAAAATGAAAAACATGCTGTTGTCATTAAGTGAAAGACAAGTTTCTGAAGCTCTGTCCTTAAGGGTTTTATTGGACTGCAAGAAATGCAATACACAAATGTACTATTTAGTACCAAAAATTGCAGTATTTAAAAATGCCTAGCTGTTGCCCACTGAGCTACCAGAACAGGATTAAAGTAATGTGCCTGGCACAAATGCAGTTGCAAGTGCACACTCTGTGGCACTGGGCTCAGGGCAGGGTACAAAAATGTAGTATAGTACCCACAAAAATAATTGTTGTAGTTTGCAGATTGAACACCAGAATTCTTTCCTAATCTGTCCCTCACAGCTGCAGCATCCTCTCCCTACAATAATAAGAGCTCATGTGACGTGATGGCTTCTAAGGGCACACGAGTCAAACGCTTGTTGATTGGCTGCCCGGCAGTCTTTCAAAACACTCCATTAAATCGCCAAACACCGAACTCCAACCCGAACATACACTGATATGTCTGGGCTCGGGTCTGGGGTCCAAAAACCGTAATGTTCGGTATGAACCCCAAATTTAAAGTCCGGGTTCGCTCAACTCTATGTATAACTAGTTTCTTGTTTCAACTCAAATTAAATCGATTTCTACAATGAAAACAAAAGTTCGGACATGCGTCCTAAAAAAAAAACCAAGGAGGAAGTCTCAGAAAAAGAGAAAATCCTCTCTTCTGAAAGGGAAAAGAGCAGACCAATAAATACATTCTGCTTGCCTAAATCACATGAAGTTTTACAAGATAAGCAAAGAAAATCCCTACCAGCAGAAACAAAAGGAAATGGTGCATATGGAATGTTGCACGTTTCTAATTTATCAGAAGAAGATTTTCCTCCAATAAGAACTGAATCACAAGGGATCACACAAGTGGTTTCGACAACACTCTTAGATGATCTCTATGACAAAATAAAAAAAGACAGAACTTAATTTCGGGCAAATTGAAGTCTGAATTGGCCTCCATGGCTGAAAAAGTCAATTTACAAGCAATTATTCTATCCTCAATCCAAGAAGATAATAAGAAACTGCAAACATCGGACATCATAATGGAACAAAAAATTTAAAGTCTGGGGGGCAGGGCCGACCACCAACGGTCGCAATAGAGATCAGCTCCTGCAATCTAAGCTTATAAACTCGGATATTCAACCTATTTGCCGCCCGGCAGCAGTGGCCCTCAGTGTGAGGGGGGTACTGGATCCGAGGCTTGCTCCTGGAGTTTTAGTGCCTTGTTTTTCCAGATGAGGCCTACACCGGCGGTGAGTGGAGAAGACCGCCACTGCTCTGCTATCCTGCCTCACAGTGCCCAACCAGAAGTCTGAATTTTTGTGGAACTGGCCCTGTCCTCCTCCCTCCCCCTTCCCCCCCCCACCCCTCTGCACTGGTGGGGTTGATCCCAGTCCTCACCCTGTGGCCCCAATCACTAAAACACATTCAAGACCTGGCGCTAAAGCCATCCTGATCTGCAGCCCAGGTTCTTCACCTAAAATCGTGAAGGCCATGTGCGTAAGTGCTGAGGCCCGAGAGGCTACCAGCGTTTTCCCCACACTCAATTTAATCAGTGCGGATTACTGGCACAAAATACAAAAGATATATGGTAAGTGGGGTAAAGTGCCGAAAGCAGTGCAAGCAAGCCACTCTATGAAGGGATCACTCCCAAATCCCTCAGAAACAGTAGATACAAAAGGTGTATAAATATAAAGATATATAGATATACAGGTGAGGGCGCCACTATCACAAATATGTGGGTTATAATTACCACTTGGTCAGCAGAGATGACATGTAAAAAGAAACATAAACATACATAGTGAAGTATTTAATGGTATAACAGTTGATATAAATAACAATAAAAAACAAACTCACAAAGAGAGTGGCACAAAAATAAATATTTCTAATTTGTGCACAAAAGCTTTTAAGCCTAAAAGTGTGTGGAAGGGGCAGTGGGTAGCTCTTGTAATTCAGTCCAATCATTAAGTAATAGTGGGGTAGATGAGGTAGATCATTCTGAGGTAGATGAACACAGACTCCTAATGCCAGCCTCCTTCTTTAGGATAAGTGTACTGGCACAAGCTGACCGATATCTGCAGCGGCCTGCCACACGCACACACCATAGTGCCCCAGCACAATGCCTACCCCTGGAGACTCAACGCAGGGTGTCGGTTTTTTTTAGGGGCAGGACCGAAGCAGGTGGAAGAGATGGAGAAACATCAGGCCAGCACACAACTAACAGCAACTGCCATCGATAAATTATCTGCGAAAACCTACCCTCAAGTCGGGCCGGGGAGCAGGTCCCCAAGGTAAGAAGCCACATCCTCTCCCTGGATCATCATACTGTCCCTCCCGGTCAGCTGTAAGGGAACCGCGACGCACACAGATAGCTGGCTTGCAGCAGGACTACGCTAAGCCCACAGAGGGTATCAGCTAAGCTGAAATTTAAGAGGACACTTTGCATCTATGTCCCACTGATCCAATTCTACTTAGTTCTACTTGCATAATTATGATCTAAGTTTCTGTGATGGGCCAACCACACTGATCATATCCATGATTAGCATTAGGGGTCTCTGGGGTAAATTAATCTCCCATAGTTATTGCAGCTACCCAGCTTGTTACAAGCGACATGTATTGACTCACTTATATTTCTCTAAGCTGGAATGTTTAATCTAACCTATCCTAGTCTGTCCTACTAGTTTTCAAATATATTCCTAGTACCTGTTGTGCTATTTGGTGCCCCATAATTTTTAATATTAAAAGAAAACAATATGGATGCTGGTAGACTGGCCTGGACATGTAATGCTGTTTCAACACAGGTCAAAGGAACTTTGTATTTTGTAACCTTAAGAAGTAAACAGGAGGAATACTTATCTACAGTTTAATTTGTGAGCTATCTGTATACAAGGGTAACAAGAAAAATGGTTTATTACTCAATGGGACTTTACAATCCGAGATACTTAAACTCACAGAGCTTCAAAGGGGTATACAAACTATGCAATTGTTTGTGCATAAACATCACAGGCAATCCAGAGTGTTTGTCAGCCATACGAACCCAAAGTCTGAGGTCGCTTCCATATTTTCAGGATATTAGAACTTAAATGAATCTATTGGAATCATGCATTATATATAAATGTAAACTAAATGTGTGATTGCTACAGTAATGTCTATAACTGCATCCTTGACTGATTTAGGGGTAAAAGGTAATATAGATATCCTAATATAATTAGATTCTATTTTTCTTTGTAAAGATGAATGTATCAATCAGTTAATAATACAGGTTAGATTGATACAGGATATAGACATATTGCATGATGATTAATATAACCAACCCTGTTTCAATTAAAGAATATATATAACCAAAGACAGATATTTAACGTAATTTGAAATATCCCCAGTATAGGTGAATTAAAGGTCAATTCATTTATTTAACCAGGTCATCAATTATCTAATTCAGATCTTCATACCTAGGGAAATAGTGCCATCTATTGATGAAAGTCCCTAAGGGCCACATTAATAATTAAATATTAAGATACGCCCATAACCAATCAAAAGCCAGATTTAAGTCCCAGGTACCTCCCATTTACAAACAAGGGGCAGGAACTGATAAGGGGGAAATAATGGTTAAATAGGGAGAAAAATAGGAGAGAGGATCGATATCTTCAGATCATCTTAAAAAGATCAAAGGAGAAAACAGGGGGCTAAGAAAGGAGGAGATTGACTGACTAAGGGCAATAGACTGAATTACAGACCAGAGCACCCAGAGAGGAGAATCCCAAATTGAATTAATTCATCCTAGACTCTTGGTAATGTATAAAGGTTTCTCTTTACTTTATATTAAATAAACGGGACTATTGAATGCCCTATGTGTCTATATTGTGAACTGATCCCTATTGATAGAACAGTTATATCTCATTCTACCTGCAGCCTGAGTCAGAGATAACTTCCTAAGTCGGAACATTCTTGATTCCTTCTTTAGACGTAGATCAGTTCAATATATATATACTAAGGCTATCAGAAACCTTATATAAACGTACTGTAGTTAAACTGATGGTATATACTTGGCAGGGTTGGTTGATATTTAAAGCGGCACTGTCATGCCGAACTTACCTTTCCTCAATATCTTCCTCTTCTCCCCCTCTCTCAGGATCTGTTATTCTTTTCTTCCTGTCTTCTTTAGTTTTCTTTAAAATCATAAGACAAAGTAGGGACTCTTTGCCTTATGGAGGATTCCTCCGCTTGACCAGCTCTGACCAGCTCTGAGGAGCAAAGTGTGCTTCATTTCCGCTGGTCAGAGCAATTTTCCCATGATCCTTACCTTTCCTCTGAGTTCCCACAATGCTTCCTGTCACTTTACACAAAACTGCCGAATTGCGTTCGTTTGTTTTAGAACGCAATTCGGCACTTTATTTGGATCGGAATTTCATTCGAATGAATGAAACTCCGATCCTATTGATTGCTGTGGCTGCATCTTGCAGACGCTTAGTAGATAACTCCCTAATTCCCACGGTATCAGGGAGCTATCTACTAAAAGGCTGAAAGACCTAAATTGGTCTTTCAGCCAATTTACTAATACTAAGTAAAAATTACTTAGTAT